CCTCTCTCCCTCTCTCCCTCTCTCCCTCTCTCTCTCTCTCTCCCTCTCTCTCTCTCTCTCACACACACACACACACACACACACACACGTTATCTGTTGCTTTGCAACACACCGTCCCAACACTTAGCACCTTACCATGGCAAACAGTTACGATCTCACACAGTCTTGGAGGGACAGGACTCCAGGAGCAGCTTAGCTGAGTGGTCCTGGCTCAGGGTCTCACAGGTCCGGCTGCCCACCCACATGGCTCTGGGCAGGAGGTCTCTCAGCTCCTCACCACATGGGCCTCGCCATGGTGCTGCTTGTGACATGGCTCCTCCCAGCTTGGATCATTGAGAGAGTGAGTGACAGTCCTTCATAACCTAATCTTGGAAGTGACATACCATCACCTCTGCTCCTGGGTGCACAGTCCAGCACTGCTGGGGGGCTCCCTGGGGCAGGGGTGAGTGCCACACAAGGTGTGACACCAGGAGGCAGGACACGGGGGCCGTCTTGCAGGCCGGTGACCACACTCCCTATTGATGCTTCTTGGCATTTTGCCGTGTTTCCTGTCCTTTCTTTACTAAACGTACATTTTCTTAAAGTACTGTTGTTTTTTCTATAATACAGTTGTTTCCCACTTTACTTTGTAAGGTATTTTCTGGATTTAAATTTTTATAATCGCAAAAGTGATACATGCTTGTAAAAATATTCAGACAATAAAAGCACGCAAAGCAAAAGTTCTTGCCCTTCCCCCCAGACGAATCACAGGACCGCGACAGGCTGGGCTGGGTCTGTCTGCCCTCTTATCTGTGCGTAAAGCGCACACGGCTGTGGTGGCACAGGGACACGCACAGGTGTTCACAGCTTACTCTCTCTACTTTGCAGCTCTCTTTCACGTCCGTGCGTGAAGCCTGCCTTGTTTTAACGGCTGCACGGTATTTCCCAGCATGGACGTGTCCATAATTTATTTCCTGGCTGCCCTGCTGGTTACTTGCCATTTTTCACTATTACACGCTGCCCTGGGGAATGTCCATGTGCACGTGTGTTGGGACATTTAGGTGGGTATGTCTGGGTGACTCTGGACAGGTGACCGCCCTTCTCTGGGTCTCAGCTGCCCCGTCTGCAACATGGGATGATAGTGGCGTCACCCTGGAGGATGGGTGTGAGCCTCAGATGAGTGAAAACGTGTGTGTTTGGCACAGTGCACGGTGTGGTATACGCGCAGCAGCAGTGCTACTTGTTGGGGGCGACCTTGTGTTGCCCTGGCCCCCATGTGGCTGGGTGCTGCGGGACACCATTCAGGGAACTCTGCCCAGATGATCTCTGGAGCTGCAGAGCCCTGGTGCCTGAGTGGTGTCCCATTTTGGAAGCAGTGAGCTTCCAGACAGTGATTTATTGATGGAGATGACAGTGGCTCAGACGCCAAGAGGAGACCAGATTGTCGCTGTGCTTAGAAACTGAGGCCTGGGCCCACCGTGGGGTGTGGCGGAGGTTCTCTGGACATTGACATCTAGTGGGGCCAAGTCTCCATGCTTCCTCAGGAGCAGGCGTGACTCCGAGCTCCAGGTGGGCCAAGGGCCCTGATCCTTGGAGAGGCTTCCACCTGGGAAAGGGCAGGCCATCCCAAGTCAAAAGAGCAAATGGCTCAGAAGTAGAGTCAATTAATGGAAGAAAAGGAATTTGAAAACTAATTAAAACAATAAAAACACCATGGCCAGGGAATCCATGTAAATGGGCAGTGTGCCAGTAAAAAAAAATGGAGGAAGGAAGGTAAGGAGGAGGGAGGAAGGCAGGGAAGGAGCACATGGGTGACTGAGAGCTGTGAACACACAGTGCCAGGCTGTGCTAAGCGCTGCGTGTTCACGTACTCACCCCATCCTCCCAATGAAACCACAAGGCTGTTAACCCAGCTTACAGATGAGGAAACTGAGGCCCAGAGACTACGGTAACTTAGCAGAGCCTGCCGGGCTACTGAGGGTAGAGCTGGCCGTTAGGCCTAGGCCAGCTGGCCTGCTGCTGAGGCCTGCGCCGCGTCTGGGATGGGCGATGTCGGCGGTGGGAGAGCGAGGGTGGAGGCCAGCCCGGCGCCTGCTGACCACGCCCCGTGCCTCCGCAGGAAGTGCGAGCGCGCCACGTGCCACGACTTCGTGGAGTGCCAGAACTCGCCGGCGCGCATCACCTACTACCAGCTCAGCTTCCAGACGGGCTTCCTCGTGCCGGCGCACATCTTCCGCATCAGCCCCGTGCCCGCCTTCGCGGGGGACACCATCGCCCTGACCATCACCAAGGGCAACGAGGAGGGCTACTTCGGCACGCGCAGGCTCAACGCCTACACGGGCGTCGTCTACCTGCAGCGGGCGGTGCGCGAGCCCCGGGACTTCGCCCTGGACGTGGAGATGAAGCTCTGGCGGCAGGGCTCCGTCACCACCTTCCTGGCCAAGATGCACATCTTCTTCACCGCCTTTGCCGTGTGAGGTGCCCGACTGTCTCCCGGGGCTGCGCCCGTCGCGTCCCGGCGCCGCCGCCCGCACAGCGCTTTCCGCGGTCGCTCAACCCCGCGTGGGTGGGGCCGGGGTATCCTGGCGGTTTTTACTCTAACTCTGTCAATTAACTTAATTTTGCTGACTCGGTTCCTGGGCCTCTCCTCCGCCCCGCCCCGCAGAGGGAGCTTGGCAGCCGGAGGTGTGTGGAAGCTTTCAGGGTCCCCGCGGGCGTCTTGTGCATGGCGTAGGAGGACCAAAGGCCGGACGGTGACCGAAGACTGGAAACACAGCGACCACGTTGGGGCTTTTGGACTCAACTGGATGACCTGACCCCAAAGTTAATATTCCATTTCATGTTCCACTGTGATTAGTTCTTTACTTTAAAAAAAAAATCATTTTATAGTTTTTTTTGTTTAATTATGAAAGTAGTACACATACATTGCAAAAAATATTCAAATAGTGCAAAAGGGTTATTAAGTAAAAAAGTGAAAAAAGAAAACCCTGTTACTTCTGCAAAGTGTGTGTGTCGCGGGTCCCAGCCTGGACGTGGCGGGGCTTTGCTGATTATGACCTCCCTTGATGTCTCACTCGGGCGCTCCCCCACACGGTGGGCGTGGGTGGATCGCAGTGTGAACAGAGGCTGGCTCTGGGATCCTTGCTGCTGCCGCTCCTACTTCTCCTCCAGCCCCCTCCCCTCTCCTCTCCTCCTCCTTCCCCGGGAAGTCAGCTGGTTTCTCTCTTTGGACGTCCTCCAGGAACTCCAGTGCTGGGCCCTGCTGCTGAGGCCTGAAAACGTCAGGTCACAGTGGACTTAGGCAGGAACCTGTAGGATGAGAGAATTCGTCTTTTCTTCCCGGCTGTGGGTTTCTGGGGCTTTGAAGCTGGGGCAAAGAAGGAGGGCTGGGGAAACTGAGGCCTGGGAGGGGAAGGGACATGCCCAAGGTTCACATGGGCTTCCAGACCCAGGTCTGAGGCCCCCATGCGCACCCACTGTTGCCACTGCTCTCGTTTAGCTCTTTCTCGAAGCCAGTGGATTGCAGACTTCGAGCAGTGTGTGACTCCATGGGTCTTGAGTTAAATGTAGTGGATGGCAGCCAGCATTTAAAAAATGAAATAGACGGGCTGGTCCTGTGGCATAGTGGTTAAGTTCGGCGCTCTGCTTTGGTGGCCCAGGTTCGAGGGTTTAGATCCCAGGTGTGGACCTACACACTCATCAGCCATGCTGTAGCAGCAACCCACATACAAAATAGAGGAAGATTGGCACAGATGTTAGCTCAGGGTGAATCTTCTTCAGTGAAAAAAAAAAAAAGAAATAGAATAGACAGTGTTAGTCCTTCACCTGGTGAGGTGCAGACTTGTTTTCACAAACGAGTGCGTGTGTCTGTGTGTGCACGTACGTGTGTGCCACCAGCTCTTGCTAGTGATGTAAAATATATTTCTGCTGTGGGTGCTGGTCGGAAATGGAGAGCAGCAGGCCTCTTGGGGACTGGCAGATGCATGCCCTGTGTGGGGGTGTGGCTATACCTACCAGCTTCTACCTCTGCTGCCTTTGGGGAGCCTGGGCCCTGTGGCGAAATGTTCTCATTCTTCAAGACACGTTCCCAAGCTACATTTTGATGTAAAATCTCCCAATTTTAAGATGTGATGGTTATTTAAAACTCGTAACAACAGGCGTGAACCAATCTCAAAATCTGCTGCCATAAGCCTGCCGTGGAGGGCCCAGTGAACAGGCTCCTGTGGCCTTTTCTTCCCTCCCCTCCCTGCTCACTGGCTCCATCCCCAGGCGTGTGTGGCAGAAGCAAGGACTTGCTTCTCACTGGTCCAGCTATCTCTGTTCTTTCCATTTCTCTGGTTTTTAGGAAAACCAGAGCTGGCAGCTCTGTTGGGCATTATCACTTACTGGGCAGGGAATTGACTTCTACTCAAGAGGCAGGTTAGGGACATGAGCGAGGGATGGGGGTAGCACCTGGCGGGCGGCAGCTGGCTCTGCTCCTGCACAGTCCTGGATTCTCCCTGCAGCTCACGGGTTGCTCCCAGTGGGACCTTGGGCAAGTGACATCACTCCCTGGGTTTCATTTGCCTCATCGGTGGCTGGGGGTGCCCACAGCTCTGCCCTCAGGGCTGCGGTGCCGATAGAGTGAGCAACACGTATAAAGCTTCCAGCTTGGTGCCCGCTCACCCAGAGGCTCTTGGAAAACAACAATTTTCCTTCTGGCCTTAGAGTTTCCAAGTTTCAGTGATTCTAGAATTCCATGCCGGCAAGGAGTCTGGCAAGCTACAGTTTGAGGGAACAGTTCCTACAAGACCGCCCTCACTTCAGACACCAGACATGAGCTTGGGGATCCCCAGGATGACCTTCACTTCCCACCAGCTGGCTGCACATTTGGAGTCCCCATGACCACCCTCAGGTATGTGAATTCACCTGAACGACTCAGGAAAGCGCTATGCTCGCGATTAGTTTTACTAAAACGAAAGAACACAAACTAAACTCAGGGAAGGGATGTGTAGGGCAGTCCAGGAGGGGTCCGAACGCCCAGCTTCTGTGTGTCTCAGGATGCGTTACTCTCCTGGTGTGATGGGTGACAGTTCACACAGTGTTGCCAACCAGGGAGCCTTGGGTGTGCAGCATTTTTATTGGAGCTTGGCCAGACTGCCAGCATGGCTGACCTTTAGTGTCCAGGCCCTCCTGGCGGTCAGAACTGATAGGGCATGTCCCGAAGCCCCTGCCATAAATCACATTGTTAGACTGTCCAGTGTCTACTGCCCCAGACACACAGACACACCTCAGTCAAGGACATACCAGGGCCTGAGAGCTCACTTCCCAGCCCTGTCTCGAGGTAAGGTGAGTGCTAACCCCTGGCCTCTGGCTAAGGCTTTCTTAGAGCAGGATGATCCTAGTTGGGTATCTGCATTTAGTATTACTTGTTTGACCTCCTGATCTACTGCTCTTTGTACCTTATGATAAACGTGCGCAGAACTATTTAGCATAGAAATGAACTAATGGTTAGCTGACTCCAGTTTTTTCTCAGGCTGGTCATTGCCTTTGGTGTTTCCTTCTGAGGAGGCTGTGAGCCAGTGTTCCAGCACACTTGGCCGTTGGTGTCAGTGTTATAACCTTACCAACAAGGGCAGTGCTAGTCCACATGGAGTAGGTAGGTGAAACCTGAAAATAAGCATGGAGCCCCACGCAGTCATTAGCACTTCATCCAGCCCGTCGTCTGTCGTGTGACGGAATGTCTCCCAGGGTGAGACCACGTAGGTTGGCTGCTTCCATCCGACCTTGTCAGGTTCCCAAAGCAGGAGTGGGCTTGGCTTCGTCTGTTCAGGCATCTGGTATACTCGAGCTAAGAGACAGTATCATTTCTTTCTTCAAGCCTCTCTTGGGATATAAAGGTAATATTGGGTAAATGTAATATTGGATCTCCTGCATTGCATGCCCCTTTCATTCCTCTACCCTCAGCCACGATTCTCTTTCTCTCTATTTGGCTCCAATTCATGCATCTTTGGAAGGGACGTAAGCTGCAGTCACTATGCTGGTCTGGATTGCAGGCAGCAATACTAGTCTTGCAAGTGCCTGCCCCTCAGCCCTCGCCCGTTCCTCTAGGGTAGGGTTACAGTTACAGACTAGTGGGCCATCTCAACAGTAGGCAGTACAGCTGCATTCACTGTCAACCCCGATTTTTCCAGATGGGGTGAAGGTACCATCCACCCCAGACACCACCCACCCCATCAGGCCCTTGGAATTCTGACATCAAGGTATAAAAGTCTAGTTACAGTTTCTTGGCTTAGGAATCATCCTTGCTTCCCACACCACAGTCACAGCCTTGCTCCTGGGACCACTGCATCGGATGGGAAAAAAGAAAGTTGAGATTATGTGGGAAAAAAAGAAAAAAGTATAGTCATATCAGCATCCTCCTCCTGTGGGAAGAATTGCATAGTCCTAACAGCTTCCCCCCAATTCCCCAGATCACCTGGAAAAGCAGAAGAATCTGTCCAGTGGGGACCGTCCCTTGACCCCCCTTATATTGAGTGTGAACACACTGTCAGGAAGGTGTGAAGGCCAGCCCTTCATGCCTTTGTCTCCCCCCTCCCCATTTTAGACAACCAGTGTTTCAATTGCCCATTCTAATTCTCTATCCAGCCGTTACTCCAAGGAGGGTATCTCTGCCCACTGTTGGACACTGTGGGCTGTACTGTGTGTTCCTTGGTCTGAAGAAATGTGATTCAGTGGTCAGATGGGCACACTCTCTCCTGTGCCTACACCCGTATCGTATCTTGAGCATTCCCATCTACCCTGAGGCTGGGTGTGCCAAGCCCATCCCAGAGTAAATGTCTCTTCTTGTCGGGACCCATTTGTAGCTTCCTGGGGCTTCCATAATCGGTCCCTCTTGCCAGCTGTGGGCAGGGCCTTCCCCCCAGGGAATCCACCCCATAGCCATCTACGGTTTCTGTCTCTCTAGTTGACAGAAGAGTTCTTGTTGCCATTTTGTGCCTCAGAGGGTTGAAAGGAGTATTTCTAGATTTAACCATCCCTGCACTGCTGTAGCCGCAACTGTCCACCCATTTCATGAACCCAGGTGGCCACCTCAAAGGAGCACACTGATGTTACTGCCCGAAAGGGGGTTCGTCTGCCCGCTGCAAGACATGCCAATAGTCAAGAGGCAAGGTGGTAGGAGAAAAAGGACTTTTTATTACAGCTTGCTAGCAAGAGGGAAGATGGCCAACTCATGTCCAAAAGAACCATCTTAAGGGGCACAAATCTTACAGCAGTTATACAGGCCGGTGGGTTGTTGGGGAGGGGGTTAGGAATGTTGACCTTCTGGCGTTACAGACTGGGAGTGCCACACCAGATCTTTCAGCTGATGATGGCTATCAGCATAGACTCTCTGCTCGGGGTCATCACATTCCTAAGGAACTCAGAAGAACAAAGTTATCATCTTATCGCAGCTGGGAGGTACATGCACAAGCAGGGGTCGTAAGATCCACAGAGCAGTCAGATCCCCTGGAGGGTGCAGATCCAGCTGGGCTAGTTTATCAGAGGTCATTCAAAGTTACAATAGAGCTTCTTTTCTACAATATGGCTCCCCTTATGTCAACCTTGTCTTGAGCCGGTATCACCGGCATACCTACTGACCAATTCCAGTCACTTTCTGATCTTGGTAGGGGGTTCTTCTGATGGGCATCAACATGTGTACCTCAAATCCCCATAGTAGTTTCCAAAGGATGTGCCCATATAGGCATCCCTTTAATAGGCCAGGTTTTTATTGCCCTTCTGCCTGACCATATGGCCAGGCCGTTGGCCACCACCCATGAGTCAGTGAAAAACCAACATAGGTTTTTCATAGCACGCAATTCCTCCCACTGAGCTGATTTGTTTTTACCTCCTTCCATCAGGGGGGCAGCCTTTCCAACAGGATGTTGTCCATACACCTTGAAACTGCTGCCCAGAAACCAAACAGCTCTTTGTTAGTCAATCAAGAGCTTTTATAGGGTACCTCCCAAGTGACTGTAGGATCTGACAGCTCTTCAGGTAGACCCTCAGGTGATTCCAAAATTGGCCATAGGGGACAAATCTCCCTGCCTGTGATTATGCTGAGTACCACATAATATTCCCCTGGTAGCATATTCCTGCACCAACCATTTCCATGTTATCGTGGAACTCCTCTGGACACTGCCCTCCCCATTAGAGTGTCTCTCCGACATCACCCAAGACATTATGGGTATTTCAGGTTTCAAGATGACTTTATGGCCATCAGTCAGAAGGGCCGTCTCAATCAAAGTCCAATATCCAGGCAGTAATTGTCTCTCAAATGGAAAACTTCTGGTCCCAAATCCCAGTGGTCACTCCTGGGTGGTGCCCACAGACTTTTGCCATAAGCCCCAGTCTACATAAGGACTCGAGGGCTTCTTTTGAGCAGTTTTATGGATAGGAGCTAGCAGTGTTCCAGATGTGGAGTATATGTCCTCCAAAATCCAAACAAACTGACCAGATGCTGGTCTTGTAACATATTTTGTCCACCAAGTATTTATTTAGCATATCCAATCAATATTGCCTGAAGGACAGATCTACATCCTTTCTGTTTTACAGCTAGGTAGGGGAAGTGCTCCCCAGTCACACAATGTCCATCCTCATAATAATTTCAGGTAAAGGCGATGTCACCACTTCACATAGAGTCTGTTCAAACATTCTAGTTTTCATCCAAACGGTCACCTTAATCCCATCAGCCATTGCATTTCTATATCCTGCCAATCTAACTGTAGCCCCATTAGGACTTCACCCACTCAGGGGTCACAGTGCATTGGGCTCCCATAAAAGGAGTCCCAGGAAAGTCTCTTCTGCAGCCCCTGGCCATTTTATCCATTCGTGTGCATATGGCTTTGAGTCCCCAGCCTTGGGTCAGCCTTGATTACATTTCTAGACCATCACCTCAGGCAATTCAAGGTCAGATTTCTCATTGTCATCTTAGGCCCTCCAGCTTTTTCAATTCCTCCAAACTGGAGTGAATGAGGCAGACTTTTTAAGGGTCTTCAATGTTGGGGGACCAGCAGGGGCTCCATTGGTCCACCCAACTTCTGAGATTGCTGTGTTAAGACCTTTGTTTTGACCTCTTCAAGGGGTCCAATTTTATTTATGCCATTTCCTCATTACTGGTTAAAGATTTCCACCCTGCTGGGGTGAGTCCCTTGACTCTCTCCTCTGTCTTCCCCCTTTGTATTGCCCATTTTCTTATGTATCATTCTAACCTTTGCTATCTGTTATCTCAGTAAACCTTTTCCCTAAGGAGGAGGCTCTGAGGCCAGGAGCTGTACCTCAGGCCAACCAGAATCTACCCTGGCCCAGCATCAGGATCTGCCCCAACGTGTTCCTTTGGCACGGGGCCCTGAGGCTAGTGACTAGTTCCGGCTGACTAGAATCTTGGTCCAGCATCAGGATCTGCTTCTCCCTTACTTTCATTTTAGCTATTACAGATAACAGTAACCAAGAGATTATATATTTTGCCTTCCTCTTGTTACTGTGCATTTCCTTACACATCCAGTGAGCTAACTCCTCAGGAGCTGGAGACATTATGTCTAAATGCCATTGCTAACTTTTACCTCCAGTAACTGCTTGCAGCACAGCTGCCTTTTTATACCACGTGTGCCCCCGTGGCTGCCTGGGAAGCAAAGACTCCTCATCCCCCACTCTTTCATCCTTTCTCTTCCCAAACCACATGTTTCAGTGAGTCAGGGTCAGTTAGTGAATCCCACTTCTGACACCAAGTTTGGCAAATTGCACAGTTTGAGGGAGTAATCCCCACAAGACTGCCCTTACGTATCAGTCAGAGTTCTCTAGGGAAACAGAGCCAATAGGATATATATATATAAAAGATATTTATTATAGGGAATTGGCTCATGTGATTATGGAGGCTGAGAAGTCCCACGGTCTGCTGTGTGCAAGCTGGAGACCCAGGAAAGCTGGTGGTGTGATTCAGAGTGAGTCTGAAGTCCTGAGAACCAGGGGAGCCAAAGATGTAGTTTCCAGTCTGAATCTGAAGATCTGACATCAAGGAGCACCAGGGGCAGATGACCGATGTCCCAGCTCAAACAGTCAGGCAGAAAGGCCTGACTCTCCTTCCTCTCCCCTGTTGTTCTGTTTAGGCCCTTAACAGACTGGATGATGCCCATCCACATTAAGGAGGGCAGCCACTGTAGTGAAACCACCAATTCAAATGTTAATTTCTTCTGGAAATACTCTCACAGATACACTCAGAAATAATGTTTAGCCAAATATCTTGGCACCCCATGATCCAGTCAAGTTGACACATAAAATTAACCATCACACCTTAGTTCAGACACCAGCTACAAGTTTGGGGGTTCCCAGATCACCCTCACTTCAGACTAGCTGGCTGCAAATTCAGAGGTCCCTTGACCAGGCTCAGGTTCGATAATTCACTAAAACAATTCACAGAACTCAAGAAAGTGCTATACTTATTTTTATAGTTTTATTATAGTGAAAGGATACAAATCAAAATCAGCCAAGAGAAGAGACATATAGCACAGAGTCCAGGAGAAGTCCAAACGTGGAGTTTCTGGTTACTCTGCCCCTGGGAAGTCCTGGATGGCATTACCTGCTCCCAGCCTTGATGTATGGTTATCCACATGGAGGACTGTCCACCAGGGAAGCTCATGTGAGCCCTTGGTGTCCACAGTTTGTATTGGACCTGGTTGGTATCTGGGGCACTCATAGTCCCTGGAACAAAGGGGCAGCACAATTGCTAAAGATTTCACCAGTGGTGGTGTGAGAGCATGTCCTGGTGGAGGGGATGCTGTGGCAGGTGCAATGAGGCAGGCATCTGAAAAATATGAGGGAATGATGCTGACAAAGACAGCAGAATTGGCTGGTTACCGCTAAGGTGTATTGACCTGCAGAGAGAGAGTGAGAGACGTGGAGCTGTTAACGGGCAGGTAACAGCTAAGGCTGAGAGGCGGAGGGCCTCAGGGCAGCTCACAAAGAGGTGCCTGTCTTCTGCAGAGGAATGGCAGACAGGGCTGAACGGCCGGCTGAAGACCTGACAGTGAGAGTCACAGAGCTCCAGGGACATCTGATTGCTCAGCCAAGGTCTGTCATGGGAAGTTAAGGGCCTTGGCGTGGAAAACCTGGGGTCCTGAAAATGGAGGAGACCCCGTGGAGGTGCAGGGGAGACGTGCCCTCTCCTAGTAAGAGCTGGCTCTGTTGTGCTGGAAGATGCTGCAGTAGGAGCCACTCCCCAGCAAGGAAGCAGGCGCCCCTCAGGAGCTGCCCTCACTGCCTCTCCTGGCTGCCGGTCTGGTACCTAGGGTTAAATCCAGCACAACCTGACAGGAGGTGTGCTGGGCGTGGTAAGGAAAGAAGGAGACTGCATACCCACAAATTGCCAGAATTAGCTGGCAGACACTGACAAGAGCCAGGGAATTCTCCTGGGCTTGGATTTTGAGGGTGCCTGATCAGCAGAGCCAGAATGAAAGTCTGGATGGACACGACTTCACTGACCTGGGGGAACTTTCCTGGGACACAGGATTTAACACCCTGTCAAGGAACCCGGGGGATGGGGCAAACTCACGGCCAGGGTGGCTTTTAGAGCCTGACAGAAAAGATGGCCAACTCTGAGGTTGTCACAGAAGGCTGCCAGCTTTGAGGGGGCTGGAGGAGGAAAGGGCTCTGTGGCAGGGCCAGGCGGAGATGCAAACAGCCCTGCCGTTGGGCCAGACAGACGCAGACCTGACTGTGGAAGCGTCAGTGGTGGGAAAAGGTGCAGCAGGAGCTCATGGCAAACCCCCGGGGAGGACTCACAGTGCAGTGGGATTCTAGAGCAAGGCCGTGCATCCACCCTTTGAGAAACAGCATATGGCATGTTACTGGGCCCTCATGGAGACTGAACCCTTGACCATCTGCACAAAGTGGCCATGCATCCGGAACTGTCCATCAGGAGCTGGGTCTGTCAGACCCACCAAGGGATAAAGTTGGGTGGGCCCATTGCAGTCCCTCATAAGATGGAAGTAGTATGTCCAGATCGAGCCTGAGCAGGGCCAGAGGTGTGAGGAGGCTCCATGAGCAGGTAGCACAGCCCCTTATGTCACCCACAGCAGGTGCACAGAAATGAGCTGTCCGCTTTGCGATGTGGAGGTTTCTCTACAACCAGTGGAAAGAGGAAGAAGACACCCAAGTTTGGCTAATGAATGGGGCAGCTTGGTACAGGTGCCAGTTGGAAATGGACGGCACCTGCATGACAGCCACATTCAGAAGTGACCTTGAAAGACAGTGGGGAGGGAATATCTGCCCGGTGGGTGGCACCGTGAGCAGTGCTCTGGTCATACACTTTGTGTGGAAGAAGTGGCTCAACGTGAATATATGCAGGTTTCTGGGTAGTGGCCATTGACGTGCCATCTGCTCAGATGCCTAGAAAGAAAAGGGTGAGATAATTGGAGACAGGACTCTGGGTGGAGGCCATGGGTAGAGAGGTGGGAGTGGGCACAAGCGTGAGGATTTCTGTTTTGCACATTAATGCCCCCGAGTGAGCATCTCCCAAGGAAGGGCATTGACCAACCAAATGGACAAAATGGTTCGGCTGGGTAACGTTGGCCAGATTTCACCACTGGCCACTCCAGATGAGCACATGAATGGAGGTCATGGTGCCTCTGAATGTAACAAGAATGAACATTGAGCCCCAACACGTCACTCCTCCTCAAGGAGATCAACTGGCCACTTGGTAGCAAGGTGACTACATTGGCCCCCTTCCATCCTGGGATAGATGCCCACTTAGCAAGGAGCACTATCTGGGGACTTACAGTGTCTAACCCTCCAGCACAGCAGAGGATCTGACGGGGGTCCCGCTCCACAGTGAAAGAGCTGACTGGCCCATGACCGTGGGACCCACTGGTTGTGCACACACCACATAACCCAGAGGCAGCTGGCCTCATAGAGCGCGGGAATGGCCTTCTAAAGGTGCGGCCAGAGCGCGAGCTGGAGGGAAACATTCTGAAACAATGCGGCGCCACCCTTAGGATGCCGTGTATTAAATCCCACGTGGAGGTATGTCCCAAAGGGAGGATAAGCTGTTGGGATCCAAGAAATGGAAGCAAGTGGCCCCACTTGCCATCACTCCAGTAGCCACTGGGTGGTTTTGTTCTTCCTGTCGCTGCAACAACGGACTCCTCAGGGTTGGAGGTCCTAGTCCCCAAAGGGGGCACACTCTTCCCAGGGAAAACAGCAAGGGTCCCATTGATCTACACAGTACAGCCGCTGCCCAGGCTCTCTGGTCTCCTCGTGCCGGGACTAGTGGGTAAGGAGTGGGGTCCCCATACCCACGGGGTGATTGCCCTGGTCAGCAGAGAGGGCAGGGCTGCTTTGGCCCAATGTGGGCGGGGAGGAATATGAGGGGAACTCGGGTGATCTCAGGTGTGCCTGCCCCACTGTGCCTGCAAACACAAGTGGTGACCCCAGACAGAGGCGGGCACGATTGCCAAGGTGTCACATATCCAGCTATCAGAATGAAGCTTGGGGTCAGACCACCAGGTGAGCCCCCAATACCTGCAGAGGTGATGGCCAAGGGCGAAGGGACTTTCTGACTGTGCAGGAGGGAGAGGATGAGGGCTAGAGGTTGCTTCTCGGTCAGCTGCCACAACAGGAGCTGGGGGTCATTCCACTCATCTCCCTTCTCTGAGTTTTCCTCTCAGAGAGGTGGGCCCCCCAAACTCTGCATGGAGAAGTGGGTGCTGTGAGGACGGCCTGGCAGACCTCCACCTACGGGGGTGTCCTGACCAAGGACTTTGAAAGCCCACGCTTCCCACGGGATACTCCCAGTGAGGGACTGAGCACAAAGGGAGACTGAGGCAGCCCCTTCCCGGCAGACATGGGGCTCCTCTGATGGCTGGCTGTGGATTCAGGACTCCTGATGGTCCTGCCGCACCTTCCTTAGACAGATGGCTCC